CTCAGGTGTACTTGGCTGGCACCTTAGCTGCTTGAGCCACAGACCCCGAGCCAGAGTGTTAATTTCTTTATTTGTTCCCTTTTGCTTAGTTTGACTATGAATTCCTGTAAAAATATCATATTAATTCCCAAAGAGGGATATGCATAAAAGAATACAAGCAGTTGAGACTGGTGACTTGACGCACAAACACAACCCTTAAGGAGTTCTGTGATTTGGAGCAAATCAATTTCAGGACATTTCTAAATGTCTCTTGAGAAGTGTGAAAGTATGCAGAGATGTTTATAGTTCACTTTTACCACTAATGGGGTGATAATGTGGTTTCACTTGGGTCCTTGTACTTGTTCCTGTCATTAAGAAATTGTCCCCTGGGGAGTGTTTCAGTGTTATTGACCAAGAAGAGATTTAACCAAGATATTGTAACAATAACCTCCTTTTTCCCCCCCTACTCTGCTGTAGGACATAATGATTATATTTGTCCAGCTACAAATCAGTGTACAATAGATAAGAACCGGCGGAAAAGCTGCCAGGCCTGCCGACTTCGGAAGTGCTACGAAGTAGGGATGGTGAAGTGTGGTGAGTGCTTGCTTCCCTCTTACTGAGTGAGGACCTGGGACCTGGATAAGAGGAGATGTAGTAATTATTCTCAGTTTTTGTATGCTGCCACATGAGAGGAGGCATTGACGTCCCCTTTAGCGACAGAGGGCAGAGCTGGGGTGAATGGGAACAAGTTCACAAGAGGCAGATTTTGGCTCAATGTGGGGAAGAACTTTCTATGATTTACGTGGTCTGGCAACAGAATAGGCCACCACATAGTTTAGGGGACTCCAAGTCAGTGAAACAAATTAACAAGGATGGATGAACACCTACCTGCCTTAGACTTCGAAAAGGCCAATTCTAAGGGTGAAGTCTTGGTAAGTATATGTAAAGCTTGTGACAAAAAAAGGGAAGAATATCTTTTTTTTTTTTTTTTTTTTTGGAGACAGAGCCTCAAGCTGTTCCCCTGGGTAGAGTGCCGTGGCATTACAGCTCACAGCAACCTCCAACTCCTGGGCTCAAGCGAGTCCTTTGCCTTCGCCTCCCAAGTAGCTGGGACTACAGGCGCCTGCCACAACGCCCGGCTATTTTTTTGGTTGCAGCCGTCATTGTTGTTTGGCGGGTCTGGGCTGGATTCGAACCTGCCACCTTAGGTGTACGTGGCTGGCGCCTTAGCGGGTTGAGCTATAGGCGCCGAGCC